TAAGGCGTACAACTCCCTTTCATATGTGGAGTTGGCGACTTTTTCTGACGGAAGTCTTCTGGACATAAACTCAATAGGTCTATATCCCTTACCGTCATCCTGTTGTAACACAACGACAATCCCATACTGACTTGCATCAGTCGTGACAATGAAAGGAAGAAAAGGGTCAGCAATCTTTAAGACAGGATAGTGAGTCAAAACAGGTTTCAGTTTCCTGAACAACGACTCACAATCTTTGTCCCACAACCAAGGTTTTTCTTTCTTTAGCAGTCTTCTCATAGGAGCAGCTCTCAGGGAGAAGTTTCTGACAAACTTCCTATAATAACTGGCAAGTCCTTGGAAAAATCTCAATTCAGTTATAGTCTTAGGTTGTGGCCAATCTCTCTGACTGTTGTAATCTTCTTTTCTTCAGGTCTGAGTCCTTCCTCGTTTACTATATGCCCTAAGTATAAGACTTCAGGTTTAACGAACTAACACTTTTTCAGGTTCAGTTTGAAGTTATCTTCACATAACTTCTAGAGAACCGTTCGCAGATGTTTCTCGTGGTCTTCCAGTGTTTTACTGTACGTTAGGATATCATCGAGATAGACAATTACGAATTGGTCCAACCATTGACGAAACAACTCATTCATAGACCTCTGGAAGGTTGCAGGGGCGTTAGTCAGTCCAAAAGGCATTACCACAAACTCGTAGTGACCATACCTTGTTCGAAACGCCGTCTTGTGTTGATCTTCAGGAGCCACCTCGATCTGGTGGTACCCTGGCTTGAGATCAATCTTGCTAAAGTACCTGCATCTCTGTAATTGGTCCAACAGGTCGTCAATGCGCGGAAGAGGTTTCGCGTTTTTCACAGTGACGGAGTTCAGCCCACGGTAGTGAATGCATAGGCGTAGTTCACCTTCCTTTTTAGGCACAAACAAGACAGGTGCACCATAAGGAGATGAGCTAGGGCTAATCCATCCCTTGTTAGTAAGTTCCTGCAGCTGTTTCCGTAACTCCTCAAGTTCCGTGGAAGACATACGATAAATGGGACCTTTGGGAATCTTGCTTCCGGGAATAATCTCAATAGTGTGCTTGATAGCACGCTCAGTGATTCCTGTCGGCTTAGTCTGCAAGTCCTTGTATTCGTCAAGAAGTTTTTCAATACAAGGTGGGTAGGATGAAGAAAACTAACCTACACGCTTAACAAGCACCATCATCACCTCCTGATCCAACTTCTTTGTTACCATCGATCGAAAGCTGGGTAACTCATACAAAAAAAAAACAGAGTAGAGTCAGAGCCACACTTATGGTACAACTTTATCACACGCATTTCGGACTTATCGTCCTTAAGTTTCACAATTTTATCTTTGAACTTGACTTCTGGGTCGGCCTCCTCATGCCAATCCATACCCAGAATTAAGTCAAAGGGTAAATTCTTTTCAATTAGGAAGGATACCTCGTGTAGAATTCTCTTACCTTCCTTTGTCCTGAAATAGCACTTGACACGATCGACGTATTGAGAAACAGTGATCGTGCTCTTATCAGCCAGTATAGACGTGATAGGTCTAGGTAAATCTTTTACTTTATTCCCAGATGCAATTTTCGAATTCCCTTCTCTGAAATATAAGACCGCGTCGATCCCGGATCTAACAGAGCACCTACTCGCGTATGCGCAATCTCAACATCCGCGATCATTAACTCACCCTTTGATTTTGCTTTCTTCGCCCACGAACTCCGTAGTGCTATAGCTCATTGCCGAGTTCATCAAGGGAATCGTCCAGTGAGACAGAACATAGCACAATGTTAGGGTGGTCTGGACGACGGGCGGAACAAGAGCCATGCTCTGCCTTGAGAGTCGAAGGGGTAGAAGGGGTCGTAGGTGCCTTACCTTTTTCTTCGTCTATACCCTTCGACTCAGTAGGCGCAAATGCTACTCCAACTGGCTGCTCGTTTTTGGGTTTCGAATAAGCGGGCACCAAACAATCACATGTCCCACGGTGCCGCACTTGAGGCATTGGCGATTGTCCATCTTGGACTGCCATTCCTCACGAGTCATATTCATCTACTCTCAAGGCCTCCCGAACGCAATGCAGGGATGCTCGGGAAACGAGTGTGGCCTCTTCTTCTTCCACTGACTTTGGCCTCCCTTGTTGGCCATTACGGCAGAGAGATCACCCTTCTCAGATTCACTGCCGCCGTTACCTCCTCTTCCCTCAGACTCACCAAGAGGTAACTTCTCTACTGTTTCATCATCAAATAACACAAGCATATGGTCTTTGCGCTTTTGCCGCCAGAGGACCCGCTTGTCGTACCGACCAACCGATCCCGACTTAACAACTGAAGCGTACGAACCTTTTACCTGCGCGGTCATCTGCTCTCGTTGGAGAGCAAGATCGCGAAACTGCCGTTAGTTATACTTACCAGACTTAGCTTCGGCCGCGAGCTGTCCACGAATGGGCTCGGGCAATGCACGTGAGTAGATGTATAGAACCTGGTTGTCCTGAAGGTTCAGTCCAGGTACCTGCAAGAGACGATCCACTTCACGAGAGAAGGCATCAACAGAAGTCCAACGTTTCTGGCCTATCGTGGTGAGTTCATCGAAAGCCTTGTCGGCTGTCGTCTTGTCCAGGAACCTCTCCTTAATCTTCTGGAGAAATTGCCTGAGAGTAAGGGTCTTGGCCCACTCACCAATATCTTCGAAACCAGCAGCATTGGCCTCTGCCAGCACCCATTCTTTGGCCACTCCTCCCAGACAAGACGTGGAGAAGGCAACCTGACTCTCGGGTTCTACGGGTGCAGAACTGCAGTAAGTTTGGATTTCGGCAAATCCACAGCAACAAGTTTTCATCTTTCTTGTTGTTGTAGGTGAAAGGCAACTTCATTTTCACCTTTTCTTTCTTCTTGGGTTTTTCCGCTTCTTTTGCCGATTCTTCTTTCTTTCCGGTGGGTTCTTCTTTCTTCTCTTCCGGCTTCTTAGGTTCTTTCTTAGAACCTTCGGCTTTCTCGGGCGTGACCTGTTTCATTGCATCCTTCATTAGTTTCTCCTGGGGTTTCTTATCTTCTTCCCCCTTGGCCACCTCCTCATACACCACCTTGTCTTTCCCTTTCATCATTCTAGTCATGGGCTCAACTGCAGCGGTGTTCTTCTCAATCTTCTTTTTAAGATGCATGAGGTAGACCATGATAGACTGGAGAATAGATGCAACCTCGCTTCCTGCTTCTTCGTAGTGAAACCTTTGCCTCAACTCTTCCATTACTTCTTCTTCTTCTTCTTGCTGTTCTTTCAATCTTCTATACTCTTCGATCTTTCTTCTCTCTTCTTTCAATGTGTTTTCAAGTTGTCTTATATTTTCCTCCATCAATTCCACAGACAATTGTGGTTTTTTTCTTCCAACTCTCTCTTCTTTCTTTTCTTTCCTTTCCCGGTCTAATTTTTCAAGGCCCTTGGCGACATACCGATCAAGGACTAATCGTCCTTGCTTTATGAGTTCTTCGACTCTCTGGCCTGTCTCCATCATCTGAACAGCAGTTTCAGCGGCCTGCACATCTCCTTCTACATCACGCAGATTGACCTGTCCGTGAACATGCTGTTCAGCATCTGGACCGGCACCATGTATTTCGCCAAGCAGCTGACGAAGGAGACCCAACAAAGTCTGTCTCCTCCCGTCAATCTGTCCACGGGTTTTCAGCTCCACTCTCTCTTCATCAACAAAGACGGTGAGAGGGATGGGAAAGAAGAAAAGGGGTATGAACCGAGTCAAGATAGAGGCTCGCAGACACTTCCAAAGAGAGTTCATTCTGCCTAGCATGCAAATGCCGCACAATAAATAAAATTAAAGACAAAAATAAATTCCACGACGCACGCTACACTTACAGCCAGAATTGTTGAAGGCAAATACAAAGAAACAGATATTATCAATTTTCTAATACTAGTTTGTTGTCTGATTTTCCTAATCTATGTGTGATGACGTTCTACTGTATATGTGCAGGTACCGCAGCCACAGCCAGTGTGATCAAGATATCAGCACACAGGTGAGTATGCAAGGACACCACAGAACAGCCAACAGGTAAGTAGGAAACCAACACAACAATCACAGACAATTGTCAGCCTCCTTTCTCCATAGCTGTACTGTTTGCAGCGACCAACACACTCGACAACTCACCCAACACGTGCCACGTGTCACCCCTGGCATGCCAACACAGCAGCTCGTCGGAGTCTGCCCGGAGGCATACAAGGGGGATGCCACGTCGGCAATGTGTGCTTGTCACGCATATACACTGGCATGCCACGTCAATGCCCAATCAGTAGGTAATCACGACACTGATATGTGCCATGTCAGACCGTATCCTGCCAAGAAACAATATGCCACATCAGCGGTACCACTGCCACGTCAGCCTGTTGCCAATGCAGCTCTTCAAGCTTCAGCGTAGCCTTGTCATCATCTTCAAGGGATGGTTGCTCACAAGTGCACTACTACCATGTCTAGACTTGCGGTATGACCGCGTGCGTTAATAAACGCGTTTCATATTGCACTTGCGGCACCTCCCACTTACCTGGGTGCCACGTCAGCACCTGTCAGCAGACAACAGATCGCGATGAAGAGATGCTTTGATACCAAATTGTAATGAACCCAGATCGTGAACACAGTTGCCAACAATGCAAGTCCAGATAGATGTCAACAACTGATGAGAACCAATAATCAAGATAGTGTCCAGACAGAATAAGATGAGATAATCATTCACAGACGAAGAAGAGAGGAGGGAGGATAGACAAAGGAGAGGAAGTAAATACAATGCCCATTCCTGCTTCGGGCTCCCTCCTCCAACTCCACTTTAGTAATCAACAGTCTGAACGAGTATCTGAAGTAATTTCAATGTGCCACGTGGCACTTCTAATTAGTCCCTCATCAGCACAGGAGCAATGTCATCATGAAGACCACCAGGTACGTATCACGATCTCTCCACAGTCCTGATCTTATTCTCCCTCGCAACCAATCACCTCATGTAAGTAGTGTGGACAATGCCACATCAGCAGACGAAACAGGTGGCATATGCCACATAATCAATGAAGACCAAGATCAGCGCCACATAGACAGGAGCAGCGCCACATCATCGTACCACGTAGACCATGGGCAACGCCACATATACCAGAGGGCAGCGCCACATCAGCATGCCCTGTCGACCACAGACATTGCCACTTTACCAAAGGTAGCGCCACATCAGCATGCCACGTAGACCATAGGCAGCGCCACATAACCAGAGGCAGCGCCACATTAGCTTGCCATGTAGACCACAGGCAGCGCCACTTGTACCAGAGGCAGCGCCACATCAGCATGCCATGTAGACCATAGGCAGCGCCACATAAACCAGAGGCAGCGCCATGTTAGCATGCGTGGCGCACAAT